TATGAAACCACCTGGTAAATAGTAACATCCTAAATAATATTTATGTATAAACACTAGAGGGTGCTCTAATTCAACAGTGTTTGGTATGTGGCTTTGATACTTAAAATAATTTTCTCCTTGATTAAAGATAAACCAGAACAATCTTCAGCACTAGCAACTTTTGCTTTTGATCTAATACATATACATAATTTAAGAGCCAAAATACCAATCTTCTAGAACATATAACAACCTAGTAGAATTCCACTAAAATCATTTTTTTGTTGTACAATTATGTATTTCATATTGTGTGTTGAGAGAATAAAAAATAAGTGTTGAATAAGTATAAAGATGGCCCTTGCCTATAAAAGAAATTAATGCAATGTTCAGATGGTTTAGAGAAGGTAAATCTTATCTTTTCTAGGCTTAAGCTCAAAGGAAATAATAAAATGAATTCGGTAAAAAACACAGTAACCCTAAGTATTACAGTATAGTTTAGCCATTTTACAAACATAACCTGAAAGCTGGTATTTAAGCAAGAAATAAAAGTGATATTACTGTAAGATCTCATCTGCTGTCTTAAAATATTTTCTAAGCCAATAGCTATAGAAAATTGGAAAAGAAAAAATCCAAAGTTTTGAATATCCAGAAGAGGAAATAAGTAATGTCAATTCTAAATCTTCATAAGAAAAGTATTTTGTGCTAGTTTTTTAATTTATTCCCACAACATTCATAAGCTCCATTACGAATCTTTGAAATTTTCAAAATTGAGAAAAATTTTTATGTTGCCATTTGGCAATCCAGCAAAGTTCTCTGGAGTATGAGTTTCTAATAGATATCATTAGAACATCACCAATAACAGTTCGATGGCCAGTAAAATATATTGTTATATATGTAAAGAAAGTGACTATTAATTGAGCCATTATTCAACCCTAATAAGGTATTTTACCTTTAAAAATGATTACAGGGGATCAGCCCAGTCATCAAAGGCAAGGAAAGCCAGCAAAGGATCCCACAAAGGCAGAGTGAA